CCTGGGGTTGACTCAGTCACTAACAGAAATGAGTACCAGGAATTTTCCTGGGGCTACGTAGCAGTAGGCATATAAGGCTGATAACCTCACAGCCATCTTTGAGCCAATAATCTAGAAAATGTGGGAGCCTCAACATCTTACAACCCAATGGGCCTGCATGGCCTATTACAGGGAAAGCTTTACCTATTTTTCCATTAATATTTTCAAAATCTTCGACAAACAAGTATAGAGAGACCTTCAAGTTCTTTATTTGTTCACAGTAACCTTGGTTACCCACTATTGTTAGGGAAGCTGTCAAGTGGGTTGTGATGTCATGGCCAGGAACTTGGATGGTGGAGACAAGAAGTGTTTACATAATTTCGGTGAGGAAGTCTGGAAGGAAAGTGGTCACTGGGAAGAGGGAGGAGGACATAGTAGGATAACATATATGGAACATGTGGAAGTAATATTAATTCAGTGACACGTGAAACAGGTGTTACTGCTGAGTTAAGTTTGTGTCAGTATGCAGGTTTCGTGTTTTGTTGGGGTGAATACATTAGAAGAACTTCTAAAAGTGCTATGTGGTAAATCAGATTGCAGCTGCACGGAAGTGAATGTGTTTGTTACTGAATATTTGATAATTGTGTGTTGCCTAATTAGGTCATATGGTGTTAATGATACATATACATAGTGTGTCGGAGGGGGGATGTAGGGAGAACTGATTAGTGTTTCCTTTAGAGTATTAGACTGGAGGGTCTGGTGAAAAGCATGATCCATATGTTTAGGTTTTTTTGTCAGTATTCAAATCATGTGAATCATGTGAATCATGTAAGTTTTGAGGTTTTCACGGCGATGACAATGAAGAAAGTTGTCTTCTGGGTTTAGGCACCGTGTATTCTTCGTTTTGGCCGACGTTTCGGAGGAACGTCAGCCAAAACGAAGAATACACGGTGCCTAAACCCAGAAGACAACTTTCTTCAGTTGTGAATCATGTTTAATTTATGTATGCAGTGTACTGTTGTGTATCTTATTCGTGGTAAATTTTCTGTTACTGTAGTGTATTTCTAGGTACTTTTTGTATGTTATGTAGTGTACTCACACTTGTTTTACACCTCGATGTCTTGGATCTGTGGGATTCATGTATATCTTCCTACCCCTTAGAATGGGGTAAGATCCAATTTGCTTGTGCCATCTGCCTTGTGTTTTATTTGTGACTTTGGGGTTGCTGTATGAAAGAGATTCATGATGTGTTCATTAGTTGCACAGTTTTGTTGATGCAGAGAACTCTTATGACATGTTGTGAAATTTCGGATTCTCCCAGTGGTGATTTAAAATTTCTGCCTTCTGGGACGTTACCCCGTGTGCTCAGGTAGATTGTTACTAATGTTTTGCAGGAACCTACTGCCTCCATCATCAAGACAGCAGGTGGAACCTGCGGTTCCTCTGCAGCTTTGGTAACTGTGTACCAGGCTACACGACATCAAATCCCTGGACTGTTAATAGTATCTTGTATGTAACGTGTTATATTTTCAGTGAATAATGGGTTTTGAAAATCAAGAGTGTAACAGACCGAGTGTTTGTGAACACAGCTGGGGAGAATATTTGGGTATGAGGGAGGACGTGACAGGAGACTGGAGAAAACTGCATAATGAGGGGTTTCGAAATTTGTGCTCTACAGAATGTTATTAGGATCGAAGTAAGGATGATGAGATGGACGGGGCATGTAGCACGCATGGGTGAACAAAAATCTTAAAGAAAAGAGAGCACTTGAAACATATAGGTGTAGATGAAGAATAATATTCAAATGAATCATAAATAGGAAAGGAAGTTGTTGGCTGGATGTATTTGGTACAGGATATGAACCTGTGTTGGGATGTTGTGAACGTGGCAGGGATTCCATAAAATCGTTGGCTTCTCAAGAAGAGCTCTGCTCCATGGAAGTGTCTCTTTGCATGTTCTTGTCCGCAGAGATGACTCTGTGGTTGTTTCTTTGTAGCCTGTCCCCCCTTTCTTGTTCTGATTTGCATGTCTGGGTTGGCTGAATTGACATGCTGTGTGTGAGTCTGGAGCAGGGAGGTAGGGATTTGCTGCAGACTTCCGTACGATCGTTACTGGCTGCTGCTGAAATGTCGGGCGTCATGCGTTCTGTAACCCTGGTTTTTGTTTGTAGTTATTTCATATTGTTTTCGCATACTTTTACAGCTCTGCGTTACCCAGTTGTACTGTTGACTAATTTTAGAAGCTGTATTAAGTTGGCAAAGGTTATGCGTATCAGGAAAATTACATAAATGTCATAACATGAATGAACTTGGATTTTATACGTCGCACCGTCTCAAACTTGCCAAGCCTCTAAAGTAATGGCTCTAATCCAAGCCATATTCCTATTATTAACCTATGACGTTCTCGTTTAGGTGCTTTGGGGGTGGGTCTTCCACCCGCTTCGCCCGGGCTGAGGAGCGAGCAAGCATTGATGGGTGAAGAATAGCCCATAAGGTCCACCCACCTTTCTCTACATGTTGAATCTAAACGCGGTGGTATTTAAATGCGTTCCGGATTTAATTAACGAAATGACCTTCACAGACCAGTAATGGGATTACATGACTCAAGCGAATAAAATTGCTGTCAGTGTACGCGTTTCCTCGTGCTCTCTTCTTGATTACATCTGAAAGAAATGTTCACGTAATGCTGTAAGCAACTTGACTGGACAGGCTTTTGCTGGTCTCGCAACAGCTCCGCCATTAAAGGAGCATTGGCCTCTGTCTCCGCTGGCAGTATGTCTGCATTAAGTATGGAGTTAAACGCAAAGAAACGATGGCGTTACGCCTTGATAATGAAAAATATTTCTGTTGATCTAATTGCAGTGTGTGTGAAGTTTGATTATGTTTTAGCCAGTCTGGTTTGTAGTAGTGTGTTCTCTACGCTTGTGCCGAGTACGGAACCAGAACTGGACATAATCGCGTGCGTGGAATATCATTTCATATCACACCACATTAATTTGTTTTTTTTTTTTATTGTGTAGGAAGGAACTGTCCGGCAACAGCGCAAACCGTACCTAGACTTGGGTTTGGCAAGGTCGTACAAGGGGACTATATTTCGAGGGTGGTAAAGATTCGCGATCATTTGACCCCGATACGTTACCACATTTCGTGGAAGCGGATTTACTCTAAAGGGCTTAGGCTTGGGTTATTTCCATTGCATTGTGATCATAGGGCGTTTCTCATCGCCGGTCGTGCAGACCGCTGGAGAAAATTAAACCTGCGAAACTGCGTTCTTCGTGCTTGCATAGCTTACCGGGACCGGGTACACTGTTGCCATATTGCGGACATGGCGTTCCAAGCCAGTCAGATCACTTAGTACAATTGTGAACAGGTATATAGCTAAGAGTTACGACGTTCCTCCCATGACGTACGCAAACTATAGCTCCCCGATCATGGTGGACGCCAGTACAGGTTCGCATCGTAAACATGATATCGCGTAATGAATTATGTTTTTGAAACTGCACGGCGTAATGGAGAAAATAACGGCGTGATCCGGCAACCCAGGAGACCATTGGACAGCGAGGTTCTGCTTCGGTTCTGTGTCGGGTGTATCCGACCTGCTCCGTCTTTCTAGGCGTTGTTGGCAAAATGGCTGAATACGAGAAAGCGCATGGGGTGTTCAAACATGGCGGAGGGAGGGGGGAGTCGGACCCAGTAATGACAGAACAGAAAGAAAAAAAAAGTATGCTACACCGAAACCAGTAGCACAGTGGAGTAGTGGAATCATTGACAGTACCTCTCCAAGGCAAAGGAGGGTATGTATTCAGAAAATTTCGCGTCTGCACTGCGACATATTCAGAACACCCGAAGGGAACTTGACATATAGGCGTTTGTTATTACGTAATTTACCATTTACGTATTAATTTGTTTTGTCTATTGACAGTTGCTGATCATTTTGTTTGAGTAATGAAGGTGCCTAACACGAATTTGAATTTAACACGCGAATATTATTCTACAACAGGATATAATTTTTCGCTACCTGTACTCTTTTTGCGTATCAGCCTTCGGTAAGTCACCAGGTGACCAATTTCTTCAAATGGATGTTGCCAGCTGAAGGTACTAACTAGTGCCTATAATTATATGCTGTGTAGCTTTCCATTTGTTAGGTACTAAAATGTGGGCGTCCTTTTATGGCAAGTTACAGCAACGTATGTTTTTAGCATAGTTAGTATGGAGAAGCTAAAATAACCCCGCCCGTCCCCTTCAATCGTGGGGAGTAGCCGCGGCATCTGGAATGGCGTGTGGACGTTTTTGTGCCACGTAACAGACGATCAATATCAAAAACTTGGAGCTCTGGTTGGAAAAGCGCCGTCACTGCTCTTGGGTACATTGTATTATTTATGTTTTGCGTAAGTTAGACAGTTCTGTTAGATATAACTGCAGTAATTTTGCACATTGTGTATATTTTTATCTAATTGATTATATGTAAGACGTAGTGAGGGGTGCCAACCGTATTAATCGAACAGCGTAAAGGACTCTCAGCGATAGGACGAATTTCTGTGCGAGACAACTTCGTCTTGGCTTCCTAGTTCGGCCATCAAGAGTTGTGAGTGGTAAAATTAATCGTATACAGTGATATTTACACGTTTAGTGGATGGTTAATGGTGTAGTGGATGTGTGTATTAGTGGGTTTATTGTCAAGATTTTGAGCTTTTGCATTGATGTGTTTATACCGAGTGTATAAATATTATGAAAAGCTTCCAATTTTGCAGCTGTTGATATCTGGCTCGGTTTTTTTTTTTCGTATTGCTCTTCGTATTTTGGTGGTGTAGTTGAGTATTGCGTAGTGTAATTTTCCTGGCTCAGTAACTTGTTGAGAGCCGTGAATGCACGAAATATATACTAAACTTCATTTCAACAAATTCTCTGGAGCCTTGTATCAGCTGATTGTAGATGTGTCAAGTTCTTTTATTGCTGGAGGGATTGCCAGGCACTTTTGACTTTTCATTTACATTTTATACCAAGATTTATTTTATATTTCAGATCTCTGCCAGTATGGATCACAATGACTGCTGTTGATATCTTAGTCACTAAGGTCAGCATTTTGTGATGATGCCTGAAATTGTGTTGATTTACATTTTGTGAAACTGGCAGAGTAATGCTGATATACTTATTTCAATTTTTAGGTGTCGGTTTCTATGCATTGCCTGCCAAAGAAGAATTGAGCCCAATGTTTCCAAACGAATCTAGTTCAGATGAGATTTCCAAAACAGATGCCTTCATACAAAATTTTAAGGTATAACATTTTCGTTTACGAGTATGAGTAAATAGAATGAATTCAGAGAAAGTGTGATATTTAGTTTTCTTCTGTGCAGTGCATAGTAGAAAGTAAGAATATTGTTCTGTTTTGACTTCATAGGAGGATGTTGTAGAAACAAATGGTGTGCCAGAACAGTTGGCAGAGTGGCAATCTATTGGCTTTGTCTTTAGCAACGAAGTCACAAGTGCGGCCACTTGCCTGTCCGCACATCTCAGTTCCACATTTCCTACCGACCAAGTGCCTGTTTCGAGGGTAAGTTACTGAAAATACCAGGGATCCCTTCTACTATAATTTGTAGTGTAGAATCTGGTGTCTTTATGTGTGTAGGTCAAGGGTCCTGTCCACACTCATTTGCGGAATACTGGTAATGTTACCTGAACTAGCATTTCTTGAACTGTGTGTGTTATGTACACAAAATATTTATTTTAATATAATTTAATTTTAATTTATTTCAAATTTGAATAAATCCAGATACAGGTTGGGAAATAAATTCACAAACCATTGGATATAGAATAAGTCATATATCAGAGCAGTGTTCCAATTAATCATTGAAACAAGCCAAAGTAAACATAATATGAAATATACATAAGACAGTCATGGAACACTATTGAATATAATTACAATGTAATTTAAATTCTAAACGAAAAAACATATTAACTGTTCATATAATAAAATTCCTCCAGTTTATAAAAACAGTGCGAAACCAAATATCTTCTTAAGGAATTCTTAAAAATTTTAGGCATATATACAAGCTCTTTTAATTCAGGTGGTAATTCGTTAACAATTTTAATACCAGTCTAGTAAACGCAATTTTGATACAATGTTAGGGAGGAGGTAGGAAGATATAAATTATCACTGTGTCTGGTCTGTACATTATGCCTATCATAATTAGTAATAAAGAAATTCCTGTTCTTTAAAACAAATAGCAAAATTGAAAATATGTATTGAGATTTTGGGGGTAAGTTTTCTGTCTAAAGAGATCCCGACATGAGGACCACAACAATTTAAGAAGTATACAAATGTTTACAGTAAAGTCATAAATCTTAAATGGCACGAATCTTTTGAGACTTATTGGGTCATCATCAGATGTCAGTTAGTGTTTAGGTGCTGAACTTGTACTCAGTATGGAGCAATAATATGGGTTGTATATATACTGGACAATATCACACTTGTAACAAGACATTGAGGGTTATGTACTAATTGAAAAACAGTTGGCTGAGACTGGATGACACATGCATCCAGTTAGATGTAAAAGCTAAAATTAAAATTACTATATATATATATAGAGAGAGAGAGAGAGAGGTATAGCTGGTTACAGTAGCTGAACAGTCTAAGGCATGCACTGTCTTTGCTCGCTTGGAAGCCAGGATCATGGGTTCGAATCCCACTCAGGGCATGGATCTTTGGTGTGTGTGTGTGTGCGCGTGCGTTATTCTGTGTTTGTGTACACACAGAGGCCTTGTGACGAACTGATCCCCTGACCAGGGAGTCTTAAAAGATGTAGTAAACTGAAGTGAAGGTACATAATCTCATAAGAAGAACTAAGCTAGAATGACCAGCGTACCTGAAAAACAATACATACCTATATATGTTGTCATTTTAATTGTAATAATTTAGCTTTAATTTGACATTAATTGAATGCTTAATGATTCATCCAGTCTGAGCCCAATTGCTTTCCAAGTAGTCCGTAACCTGATTGTCTTGTTACAGGTGCAATTTTGTGTAGGCAACCCATAATATGTAAGATTTGAGATTTTCATGGCAGTGACTACGAAGAATGCCGTCATCTGGGATGTGGTGCCATGTAGATCTTGTCTGAGCTGATGTCTTGGAGGGACATATTGCCTCCATCTTCATGGTAGAAAAATTTGCCAGCGAACCAATGTTAGCAGGTGGCTGCTGTTCACACAAGATCTACAGTCTACACAGTGCCACATCCCAGAAGACACCATTCTTCAACCCATAATATGGATCCATATTGGATACAAGTACAGCACCTTAACACTAACAGACAACTCTTGATGACTCAGTAAGAGTCAAAACATGTCGTGCCATTTAATATTTATGGCTTAATGTAAACATTCGTTTCTCTACCTGTTAAAGAATTGTTGTGTTGACAGAAATAAATATTTTATATCTTGATCTGTAAACTCTTTTCTTTGAGAGTTTATTTTTATTTAACAAAAAGAGCTTATAATATTTCAGAAGTAGTGGTTATCATCTTAATAATTTGCATCCTGTTGTGTGTCTCACATAAGGTATAAAGCATACAAGAATATACCATCGACACAACACTGTATTTTAGAACAAAGAAGACACTACATTTGATTCAATAAATAATGATCCTTACTTTGTTTTTCGGACTTAATTCAAATACATAAATATATATAAAATAAGTCTTTGTCAAAATTTTAACTGGATGTATTTAAATAATACAAATTAAAATGATAACCTAAAAAAGTTAAAGTTAGAACCATAGGAAATTAAAAACCAGATGCTGAATATTAAGACGATAAAAGTTAACAGATAAAAATTGTGTATTAATGGTAGGGCTCTGTGACCGCTACGTGTTGACATATATTTGCGAGCGGAAGTGACTATATCATAGGGTCCCCGCTTAACGGAGTCATCTCGTGTGGGGTAGGTCATACTGTCTTGAGCTTAAGCTCATAATTCAGTGACGTGATGTGTATTAAGTTGTTCTGTTCTTATGAGTGGAATACATGCAGACTGCTCAATATGTCTCTGTGATGTAGGGGTACAGTACTCGTATTTATGTATTTGAATTAAGTCCAAAAGAATAAAATGAGTATCCTTATTTAGTGAACTGAGTGATAATTGGATGCAGTTGAACCGTTATTTACCCGGACTGTAACCAGTCCGAAATTTCAGGAGAGGGAAAGGGGGGAGGAGTTCATTCACTTGTTGTTGTGGGAAATACACACACAAATCGAGAGCTATGCTGACTGAGTTTAACAATACAATAATATAATAACGAAATAAATATACATTAACAATAATAAAGGAATAAAACATATGATACGAATACAAGAAATGATATTACAAGAAACCTAGCATGACCCACTCCGGTCATTCAAGCCAATACCTTTCTCATGGGGCACCGCCCATTTAATTTCACCAAGCAAGAAAAAAAAAATAATAATACTCACATGTGTATACGTAGTCACAGGGTACCCATACGTATATATTTATAAAAAACACCTTTGCCTCGCCATTGCTCCATAGCTCAGCAAAGGGGCCCTCTCCCGGAACACACCGCGCTGACTTCCAAAAATAAATTTAATTTTGAAAAAAAAAAAAGGGAAACCAAACAGAAATTTCTAAGAGCAGGGACAACCACCCTGCACGACCGCCACCCAGGGAAAGAGAGCGATCGTTCGTGTCATCTTGCCACGACAAGAGGAGGAGGAAGGAAAAAAGAGGGGGAGGGTCACGTGACATCTTTAAAAAGAACATTACAAGAAATATATGAGCATCGGCTGTGGTTGACTGCAATTCCACGATGCCTTTCACGGGGCGAACCCTTTGAATCGTCTTCAGACGGTTCACAGTTCAGCAGATTGAAGCTGAACACTATACACCTGATGATGGCCTGATATATATAGGGGCCAAAACATGTCGCATCCATAAAATCTTTAATAAAACAAATGTTGATACAGTAGTGTCTTCTTTGTTTTAAAATATGTTGATGTTGTGTAGATGGTATCTTCTTATATGCTTTATATCGTAAGTGGTTATCACTGTTCATTTATAAGAGCATTACAGTGAAGTTGTGATGTTCGTTTTTTCTGCTTCTTTACATAGGTGCCATACATTTGTTTGTGTTTCAGAGGGTATGAAACAAAAAGTTTCATAACCGTAGAGCTGAACAACAGAGAAACATATAGCCAGGAAGCGTTTATTTTGTATTTTTCCAGAATTTTGATATGTATAGCTGTACAGTAGCACAGTCAGTGTAGTGACAGGCTATAGGCTGGACAAGTGGGGTTCATTTCCAGGCAGGGGCAAGATTTTTCTTTTCTCCAAAGCATCTGGACTGGCTCTGTGGCCCACCCAACCTCCCATCCAGTGGGTACAAGGGGTTCTTTACCCAGGAATCAAGTTGCCAGATTGTGAAGCTGACCACACCTCCATCTATTGCCAAGGTGAAGTGGCAATGTATCTCCACTCCCCCATGTGTTTTCATGGTACAGTGCATAATTAAGCAAGCATAGGGTAAACTTGACCTTTTTTTTTATTTTAAGCTGTACAGAAAATCCTAAGTTGGGCCCTTTATAATTTGGGCTGTCTATTTTTTTTATGTGTATGTATTTTTCATATACAGTAAGTTAATGATGAAGTTTCTGATTTCCTGTCAGCTTAGATCAACACAAATACAGACATAGTATATGATTTATGCTGATAAGAGTAAAGATTTTGCTTTTAGAATGAACCGTGACTGGGAAATCTTTACATATGTTTGTGCTGTGTAAGTTGGACTCTAGTTAGGTGAAGCCACAGTTTCTCTTTTTAATTAAAATTAGTCAGATTTTGCAATGTTTATATGGATATGCACGGTTTGTAGCAGGAACTAAAATTGGGATAAATTTAAAATACTTCTGTTACACCAATTTTGTAGTCTTGCATGCTTAAATCATTCTGATGCATATTGCAGTAGGTTACAAATGCCATAAGGTGAATATTTATCTGAAAGTTTTGTTTGTTTGTTTTTTTGTGCTGATATGAGGCTTTCGTAGTGTTTAATTAATGATCTCAGGTTGTTGCACTATGTGGATGTGGGCAATGTTGTTAACATTTTGGGGGTGCATGCACAAATTCAGCCCACACCCACTCATTGCAACAAGTTGAGAACAGAAGTCACAATTTTATGTGGTGAATGTGTAGCAGAAGGAAGGCAAATCATATCACCTCTGTGCACTCTGGTATTTGGTGTGACTGCTGTGGTGACAGAATTTTGTTGGTGCTTTATGAATGTCAGGGCCAGTTGGATATGCAAAAGACCAGTGAACTCGTTAAGAAATTTTGTTCTTTGTTGTAGTATGCTTGCTCATCCTTAAAATCATGTTCACTTTTACCTCTGTTTGAAACGTAAGGATGTAGAATGATTGATGAAACCAGCTTCCTCGTCAGTTCAGTAATTACCCAACCATCTGATGCAGTGTTGTGTTAGGTATTGACAGTGTCATTAAATTACTCACAAGTAATTAAAAGCGGCAGCTTACTAGAAGTTGTTTCTTTCTGTGAGAGTTTTCATAATGCAAGTATTTTGATTTGTTAATCATTTGGAGTCGATCATGATGAGCTCACTGATTTGTTGGTGGGGTTTGTAGGACACAATTGACTGCACCAATGAGAGGGGGGAGCCAGTTAACATGGCAGCTGAGACTGACTGTCCGATAACATCATCGCTATCACAACATGCACAAATGAATACAAAATGTGTGCGTACAACCAAACAGCAGCAAGCAGCACAACAGTGTGCAACATCAGTGCCACTGTGTTGGCCTCCCCAAGGTACCCCGCCGGCAGCTATGACAATCTTAGCGGGAGACTGCGAGACAGGCAGCCTACATCCAGGGGCAAATGGAAGGGGCATCAAACAATTAAACATGGGTAAGGCAATGTTATCAGTTCAAAATCAGCTGAACCAGATGTAGTGGTATTGTATTGTATGTATGTAAGTAAGGTGTGGGCCTTAAAAAGCACCCCCTTGCACCGCGACCTTCAGTGATCTATTGTGCTTCCCCTTGGATTAGCTCTCTATTAATCCTACACTTTTAATAAAGCGTAGGACCCTGCTTATGGGGGCGTCATAAAAGTCACTTGGTTCCATAAAAATCTGACCCAAGTGATGAAAACTTAAATAAGCTATGGCCTCACAATTACACACGATGTGTGTGTGGCTGATTGGTTTTCCTGTAAGCACCTTTCACAGGTTGAGTTATCTGTGAGTCCCAACTTGAAAAGGTGTCCAGCTGAACCAGATAGTGAATTTATTAACACATTTACTACCCTGCTCCCATACTGGGATTTTACCTGCTTGGGCAGTTCATTTTGTTATTAAAACTGGATTTTGAACTTCATGTATGTTTGAAGTGAAAGTGAATGGATGAAGAACAGTGAACAGCTACTGTGCCATTGTTTTTTTTTAAGCTTCAATAAGGTGCGCTTAATATTGATTGACATCTGTGGGATATGACATTTATGTATTTGGTGGCAAGAGCCTGTCACTAGATCAGTTTGTTGTTTCATTATTATTATTTAATTGTTTTAACTGCAAATGGGATTTTATCTGGTGGCAGTGATACTACAGTAAGACAACACACAAATAAGAAGTGATTATTTATTAAGAAATTGTCAGTGATACAGGGAGGTGGCTGCAAATGTGGTCTGGTATTCCCATCTCATTTTAGATGTGCATTATATGACTCTAGGGTGCATGCAGTAGTGTAGTTGGTTGATAAACTATGTTACGAGCTGGAAAGTCATGGGTTCAATTCCCAATGACATCTTTGACTTTTCATTTGACCTAATCCATCCAGCTGCAATATATGTACCTGGGGTTGACTCAGCATCTAACAGAAATGAGTGCAAGGAATCTCCAGGGAGTAAAGGGCTGCTGGCCGGTGCATAAGGCTGACAGCCTCACCACCATCTGTAAGCCTGTTGTCTAGAAAATGTGGAAGCCTCAATGTCTCACAAGGTCTACCTTATATTGTATGATTGTTACTTAAAATGTCTAGATAGAGGGCATCACGTTTAAGTGAAGCAGCGCACACACAAAAAAAGCATGTAAAGTGTACCAACTGTCATTTCGGATTTGTAGAAAAATTGTTTCTGTTGCACCTGGAATGAATTTCTCTAGGAATATTTTCACTTCAGTGGACAGATTGGGTTTTACGTCTTGTATTACTGACACGTCTCATCTACAATGTGAGGACATGTATTACAAGGGAGGATGGTCTTTGTGTCCAGCACAATGAGGCATGCAGGATAGCAGGCAATACATTGAGAAAGGATGTATCTTTGTTACAGGGTGTGAATCCTGTGGCTGTACTCATTACCACTCCAACCCCAGTTCCAAGTCTGAGGCCTTGTGCCAGGTGAGCCTAGGGAAAGCTGGAGGGAAGGCTGGAGCTGACCCAACCTCTTGTCTATTCCCTAAGGCGATATTCTCAGCGTCTGTGATATCCAGCTCAAGTTGTGGCACCGCGGAGCCTCCGTCCCTTGCGACCAGCCACGGTGCAGAACAGGTGCAGAATTTTTTGAGTGCAACAGATTCGTAAAAAGGGAAATTATCTTTGTTACATAAATAGATGTAGGCAATATCACATAAATCTGTAAGAATTGTGTTGATAGAATAGGTGCAAGCAGGTACCAGTGATTGTAAAAATGTCACCAGTCTTACAGAAGAGAAATGTTAATAGCCTTTTCCATCAGAATTTAAGTCTCCTACTACTACAGAGCTTGTGGCTGTATGTGTTGTAATGGAATTTATGTTGCAAGAAGTATGGCATTATCCTCATTGGGGGAAGCTGAACAGGCATGTGTGCCAGTACAGTTTATGGTTCACAGCTGATAGATGGCAATGTACGAAGTATGTGTTATGTCAGTATTGTTAGGTTTCAGGTTTTAACTTAGTCATGCATCGGAAGTTCTGATAAAATTTGTCACACGTTGCACTCGCCATGTTTTAAGGTGAATAGAGCATAAGGAAGATGTGGCTTGATGAGTTGTACAGTGGGATTATGGGAAGAGATGTCGGTTCATGGTGCTGTGTAGTGAGGATGGGAGCTGCAGTGGACACCAAAATGTCAGAACAACTTCAGCACAACATGGCTAAACCATGAAAGGCAAAATGACGCATTACTCTTAGTCTGCAAAATCCCAAGGTCAATAATACAGGAAGTGTTTATTAGTGGTACTGCACTCATTAATCACTTGTTTAGATCAGTGAAAGGCCCACTGTATTTGTTAAAAAAAAAAAGAATTTTGTAGTCAAGTATGAGAAATTTTGTTGTTACAGAGAAGGACAGAATCTACCACGATTGCCATGTTTTTAGTGTGTTATTAGCCATAGTACTTGGGATATAATTCGATTGTTTTGTGTGCCAAACCTAACTTTGTCTTTGTTGTGGGTTGGAGATGCCTCATTTCACACAAGGTTTAGCCATTTTGTTTCATTTGGAGCAGTGTTATGTGTGGAAGTCATAGGGGGAACATTCCAGTCATTTCATCTGGTAATTAATGTTAACATTCAAACACTGAATTTTAAATTGCTCAGTAGTGGTAGCTGTGCAGAGTTTGTTTGGTGCAGTACTTAAATTTTAGTGTCTATTATTGATGAGAGGCATTTTCTGTCACTTGGTCATGAATTTAGTTGGCCATTTCTGTGTTTGGCAACTGAAGGAATAACTTTTGGCTGTCATACCCTTTCCCACCTTACCATATAACCTGTATGCATCAAGTTCTGCTAAGTCTGATCAGATGCTTTCAGGTGTAGCAGTCCTTTGTTTTCAGGAGTTCTGTATTCATATCTTTGGCATCTGCTTTCTTCGCAACACTCATTCACTAATCTACAATTTGGTGCTGTAGTCTGAGCTATTAATGTCATTAAATTAACCAGGCGTAAATAAGAGTCTAAAGAATATTGCAATTTCTGGAATGATGAGACTCACATGTTGTATTACCATTTTGTGTGTGTGTATGTGTGCGCGTGTGTGTGTATGTGCGCGGTTGCGTGTGTGCGTGTAGATGCACTGGGCAGCTGGCTATATCCCGTAGATCTCGAATATATAAAAAAATTGAGATCATAGACATCAAGTCAGTTCTGATCGCTGTTGATATATCACCCCATTTCAGTTTTATTTCTGTGAGTCTTAGGTCTTGTGACATCCCCTTCCTGTGGTCTTGCTAGCCCATAGCTGTTTACAGGGGCTATAAGGAAAGTAGAAAATAAACGGCTCGAGTATGTGACTTAGCGTCTCATTGCTTTGTAAACCATCACATAAGTGGTCTCCTAGTGTTTGTTCTTGTCTCTGCATGGTGTGTGATTATGCGTCTTGTGATTGACAATCCTGGCAGCTGCAAAATCCATGGTTAACCCCTTTCTTCATGCTAAAAACATGAGTGCTGATAAATCCATTGTGAATTGTGTGTGGTTTACAGCCGGAGTGTATTGAGTGAAAGAACTATAAGACAATGGTGTAGAATGTTCAGAGATGGATGAACAGATGTTCATGAAGAGTAAAGTGGTTGGCCAGCCATGTGTAATGACTGATGATCTGTTTCAAAGTGTTGACCAAAACATTAGTGAAAGATGGTGCCTCACAATTTTAGATGTGTTGTGTGAATTTTCAGAAATTTAATTTTAAATTCTCTACTAGATTATCACAGTTAAGGTAGGCTATCATAAGATGAGTTCCAAGAATGCGCACAAAATGCAGAGAATGGTTTTGGCTTTAATTTTTTAGAGCAATGTCACAAAGATGATGACAAATTTCTTAATCACATTGTAACAGGTGATGAAATCTGGAGTTTATTTCTGAATGTTGAAACCAAATAGCAGTCACTTTCTAGACACTTGGCTCACAGGTGGCGATGATGATGTCAGCCTTATGTGCTGGCCACCCTTTAACCCCATAAGATTCCCAGTACTCCTTTCTATTCAAGGCTGAGTCTACCCCAGGGCCATTGAGGGGAAAAATATTCATCCGTTTATGTCTGTGGTGATAGTTGTTGCCATTTCAGGGCATGTTTTCGTAGTTGTCTTGTCTGTGGGCTTGGTTACTCTTCTCCCTGTGTTCTTCCAAAAGTTTGCCTCCTTCGTCCTCTGACAAAGCACTGTGTCCAATTTCCATAATTATTTCAATTTGTTTGAGAATCTATGAAGGTGCCTGTGACAGTGCTGGATTTATTATGCCACTATTATATCCCACCGCTGTGATAGATAATTGAAAGTAGCTAGAATAGTTTAATGCCAACATGCATACCTTGCAGATCTTGTAACAATACTAAATTAGCATCCCCAGGGCAGGAGATGACAGTGATATCTAAACCCTTGCAGCATATGGCCTTACAGTGACCCACATTTACCTTCTAAGTTTAACAATGTCATTCAAATGGTAGGTGATTATGCGGCAGCCATGATGAGTGAAGGAGGTGGGGTAGTGGTGACTGTCTCCATCACTGGAGATTAATTTGGCACAAGGCATAGAGTGTGCTATTTGAATAATGCATATGGACTTTAACGATAAACCTGATATAATTAGTAGTCAGTATTAATTTGGTAGTATTAAACCAAGATGGACAGATTTATTTAAGTAAATTAAGGCTTGATAAGTAGCCATGTTCCTCATAGTGAACAGACCAGCTCTGGGACCCATATAGCCTTTGATCATTCTCTTCCATCTAGTGTCAAAGTTAAGAATGCATGGAGCTACACCTCCACTTCCCTACCATGACCATAGTGTGATAATTGAGCACAGGGACAAGCAAACCTGTATCATTGCCGTGCTTCAAAACATATGGTTTGTTGGAGGTGTAATTCTATGCATTATTAACCTTGTTAGTGGATGGAAGTGATTAGTCAGCCTCGTGCCTTATCTGTTTGACAGTCATGGGAAGGGCCCTGTTATCTGCTGCCTAGGGGGCTGGGAAGGCTCAAAAATCAATCCAGACACTGTAGAGAAGAGAAAAATGTATTGTGCCTCTCTGGAATGAAACCCTGTCTCGCCAGTTTCTTGAATTTTGAAATAGTTGAGTGCTATATAATCACGGAGTGTTCTTCTCTTGTACCTGTCACTACAAAATATAAGGGGCACACAGTGGTGTAGTTGGTTGAAGCACTATGCTACAAGCCACAAGGTCATGGGTTTGAGGCCCGATGAGGTGGTTGTAATTTCAGTTTACCTAATCCTTCCAGCTGCAGTATTATATTTAAGCATCCTGTTACACTGACACGATATATGAGACAAACTCCGTCTTAAGTGCAACAATTTAATTGTAGTTCTTCCTTCTTTCCTTCCTCCACACTACAGGTTTTGGCCCTAAATACACCAGACAGCACACGTATTAACCCGTTGCCGTGGTTCGTCGTGTATGTTTCGTCAGGGATTTAAATCGTCTGGGGGGGTTCGACGTGTATGTTTCGTCCAGCTGCACACGTATGTTATAACGCCCATAATAATTGATGGTTTTGCTGTAGATTGTTAGATTTTTC